CTTAGTAACTCTTAACAACATTACACGAGAGAGACGAGGATTAATTAACGCAGGAGGCAAAATTTTAAAATACTTATTTGGGACAGCTACCTCTGAAGACATCGAAACTTTAAACAACAAATTATCGCAATTATCAGAAACGAATGAAGAATTTATTCACCTCATCCAGTCACAGGCTACTCTACTTAATGATACCTTACGTATTGCCAAAATAAATCGACAACAAATATATTCTCTAATGAAGAAGCATTCGAGAATTTCGCACTCTAATCCTCGAATTACGTAATGCCATTGAAACCCTAGAACAGGGACGATTCAGCACCTATTTCCTTCCTAAGGAAGTGTTATTAACTACTCTTAAAGAAATCCAACTTCACCTGCCCGAAGGATATTCCTTCTTAGAAACTCCACAAATGGAAACTATGTTTAAATATTATCAATGGACATCTATTACTGNATTAAAATTTTATGTATAAAATATAATTTTTAGAAAGTTTTCAAGTTAAATTTAAATGATATTAAATTATCGTTAATTTAATTTGATGCCAGCTGAATGGTCAAAGTGGTTAAACATTAGCCTATTGTTCTGGGGGACCTAGAATTGAATTTGAGCTGGTGAAAAACTCTAGGAAATTTTCAGGATGTAATCTGTATTGGATATGTTGAGTTTTATCTCTTTCTACCCAGCCTATGGGAACCAAGAAAAGAGTTTCTTGGTGCCCATAGGCAGAAAAAATAAAAGTTAATTAGTCAAATACAGTAGAACCTCGCTTAATGAGCATCTCGCATAACGAGTGTTTTGCATAACGAGCAAAACAAATTGTAAAAAATTACCTTGCTTAATGAGCAATGTTTCTTATAACAAGTGATGAGTAGAGGGAAAGTCCTGAATTGTGTGCATGCTCCATCAGTCTGTGTTTAGCACCCATTCTGCTAGAATCTTAGTGTCGCTTGTGATCACATATTTTTCCAAACTTGTGTTCACACATATTACTTATAAACATCAACAACCATAGCCCGTTATATAATAAACACTCCAAATGATATGCCAAATTCTTGGGCTATGTAAAGTCTATAATTAAATAGTAGAAATTAATTAATTTGACTAAAGGTAAGCAGTTATGTTGCTATCTTGTATTAAATTTAATGACCAATTCCAAATTAAATTTTAGAAATGTCTGAATCAAAAATTAACTATTTATAATTATTAAATTTAATATGAGATGGAAGCATAACAGCCAACCTCTAATAAAATTAATTAATTTATATTATTTAATTATAGCCTTTACATAGCCCAAGAATTTGGCATATCATTTGGAGTGTTTATCAAACATATTATCTGTGATTTTTTTTTGTTTTCTGCAAATCAAATTCTCATTCCAGGTTGGTTTATTCTGTGTAGAAGAAAAGATGATGATGATTCATGCTCCTTAACAATACACATTGTATAATTTTCTTTGAATAAATGTTGTACATAAAATATTTGAGTATTTTTTTCAGTGTGGAATGCATTATTGTATTTTACATTAATTTCTATGGGAAAAATTGTTTCGCTTAACGAGTGTTTCGCATTACGAGTACAATTCTGGAGTAAATTATGCTCATTAAGCGAGGTTCCACTATAAATGCATTAATTTCAATATTGTGAGATATTTGATGACTTTGATATATAATATGAAGTTTTTAAATTTGTTATTTTTAATGTTCCTAGGAATTAATAAACATACTTCTATAATAAGAATTTTTTTAACTTTGAGAAATAAATTGAAAGTAATGAGATTATTGATGTTATTATTAAACTATTACAGATTGAAAGCTCTTGTTTTTGATGCTTAGACAACTGTAAATCTGAAACCTAATTATATTTATTTGTCCATTTCAGTACTTTTATTTTAAATTCATAGTGAATATATATAACTAGTCATGTTCAGAAAAATTTACACTGAAAGAGTTAATATGATGAGTGCCCACAAGTGGCCAAGCAGTCTTCGTACCCTGGACACTGGGAGTTCAGTTGTGGGTTTGTACCTCACTGGCCACATGGAGTTTTCCAGGTTTTCTCCACATCTGTAATGCCTAAATAGGGGCAGTTTTCTTTAAAAGACCTCCCATAAGGCATTCCCCTAGGCAGATTGCCCAAGTGTTGCATTGTTATATCTAAACAAACAAACAAACATTAATATGATGAAAGAGGATTTTAAAAATGATGATCAGTTTTTTTTCATATAAAGAAACACAAATACAATATATACCCATAAAAGATACTTTTGAGTTTTTGACATAAAGTTTAGGTTATGATCATTTTGTAGTTGAAAGATACAATTATACACTATTAATGTAAGAAGTCTGAAATAAAAAAAATCAAAAGTAAATGATTCAGAATACATAATCTGATTAGATAGTTTATGGAAACAACTTATATATGAATAATTTTAATTATGTTCTGATATGAAAGTAAGATCTTTATTGGGACAAGTACGTCTTAGATATTTTCAGAAGTATCTCTGAATTTTGTGAAGGATTAGCACATTGATTAGTGCTTATTTTTCAAAGTTTGAAGATAAGTCTTGTTTTAAAGAAGCAATTGACTAATTGAAACAATCTCATTACTTTCGTAGTACTTCTGTAAATTGAAAAATATGTTTAATTTTATTACAGTACAGCGTCGTTTATCCGAATCAATTGGGGACTGGGGTGGTTTGGATAACTTATTTTTCGGATAATGAATCATGTACGAAAAAATATATTAATTTATCCCATGTTGAAATTTTTCTTCGTTGCGTGTCGCTTCGCGCTGAATTTTCGTCGATGTTAAGCCTAACGAAGACTATTGTATCGTTAAAAATTATTTTTTTATTTTGTACAAACAAAATAAATATATTGAAAAATATAAAAACAATAAAAAATTATACTTCAGATGTTAATTTAGTATCAAAAACGTAAAATATTTGAGTAGCCAAAGACATAGCCAAAGATTACAGCGCCACAGCACTGGCGAAAATTTAAATTTGCCAACTGGAATGCTTTCGGATAACAGATATTTCGGATAACCAGCTTTCGGATAAACGTCGCTCTACTGTATTAATAAACTTGGAAAGTTGAAGAGCAAAGTTTCTTTAAAAACTGCTAGAAAAGTGTTTCTAAAAACATATAAAAGTAAAATCATCATTTTATTGCACATAAAAGTATATATAGAATGTATAAAACTTGAGAAAGTGATAGAAAATTCGAATTAATCAGTCACTTTTGGAATCTGATCCATCAGTTTCATAGTTTACAAATAGAAAACATTGTACTTGAAAACGCACAGTAGTTCTACATTTTCTATGGTCAGCTGCAGATGGCAGTAGGAAAGTAAATCTTTGTACTGCAAAAACAATCTGTCAACATCAACAAATGTGAGAGCAGCGTATTTGGTTTTCACTAAAAAGTCCAGATTTTGGGATTGAAGAGACTCGGGAATTATATTTTAAATATCTGGACTTGCTCAGGGAGTATTCCAGTTTCTCTAAAGCAAAATTCATCCAACTGGTTTTTAGTGTATTAAAAATTTTCCTCTGCTTCTTAGTAGACAGACTACTATCCTCAAGCTTAGAAACTGAACTGCACAGGAAGTTGTATAACTTCCTGTGCAGTTCAATTTCTAAGCTTAAACAGTATAGAATTCCTTTAATGCAATTTCTTCTTTCAACAGACTCTTGAGTTTTATTGCAGTTGCTGAAGATTTTTTGTCCAATTTATTAATGAATGCTCTTATGGATTAGAAATTTTTAGCATAAAATCAAGTCAATTGAATCTGCATGCCCCACCTGGTTATTACAGTGTGTTTTGGGAGTGGCAATGCACTTACCTCTTTATATAGATGTTTACATTTGCAGGACATTCAATCAATTCCTTTTTCATTTCTGAAATAAAACGATTGCCCAAGAAAATTCTGCCCTAATTATTTCACATACTTTGTTAAGGCAATGGGCAAGACAAATGACATTTTTCAGATTCAGAAACATCTATTTTATATTTGAACATGCACTTAGCATGTATGGTGACTTATCTGTTAAAAGTAATCAAAATTTTTTTTATAGAATGGCAGAGTTTCACAATTTGGCATATGCATTATTGAAGGTCCACATAACAGTTGTAGAATTTGTCTTTGCTAATTTGTAAACTCTTAACAGCATGGGTTGTACTTGCTCTCCTGTTAACAGGCTGATGAAAATGTTCAGTATGTATTTTTCTAGCACATCCTTTGTTTTATCCATAGTAAAAGAACTGGTTTGCTTCCTATTATTTTTTGAAAGTTGCTTCAAATACAGGCTGCATATAGCTTTTCCTTAGTGTGCATTGGTCATGGATTAGACACTTGCATACTTTTCTAGAAAATTTTTTGAATGCTAAATGATTTACTTTGTTAAGAGTAATCCCTGACCATGTTAAAGCTAAGCCAGTTTACATGAAAATTCATTCTTCTTGCTTGCATTGTCCTTGGCAGAATTTCATGATGCCAAAATAAAACTCTGTCCCTTCTTTTTGTTGTTCTTTCTTTCCCTGTTAGAAATATTTTTTGTATATTTAATTTGCTGCTTAATCTCTGAAGAGATGCTTTTCATTCAAAATGGTAACATCACATCTCAAAATATTATTGTTAGTTGTAATTGTTACTACTATTTACTATTGTATTGTAATATATATATTACTATTTACTAATTGTTACTACTATTTAGGTAGAAATAGAAAAAACACACTATACCCAATTTAAGTGGAAAAAGGTAGAAAACTATTAAAAAAGTGCTCAATGGCAAGGAGGAACTAATATATTTTCCAAATGATTGTAAACTTAATAAAGAACTATTCTATGATACTTGAGAACAATTCCATGTGCAAGTAATGAAAAGTCAGAGCACTTCAACTTTTCACTTTAGTTATTACCAAAATGATTATTTAGTAAGAATATAAAAATGAAGAAAAAATTTTAAATTTTAATTTTAGATGATATTTTTCAGATACCATCTGGAGTTTTTAGTATGTGTAGAGTATTTAGGAAAGAGGTATGTAATTGTACTTAATATTAAAATTGTCTCTCTGAATGAACGAATGCACATTTGAACCCATTTTTCTCTTGTCCTATTTATTTTCTAAAAATATTTGCTATTTTTTTGAATTTTAAATGGGTGATAGAAACAATAATACAGTAAAACCTTAATTTAATGGACAAATTTTCTGGACTGTATGTCATATGTGAAAATTAACATCTTGTTAATTTTAAAAAGCTTTTTACATGTAATTATATTAACAAGTTATTTCTTTTTTTTTTTTTTAATTTCAAGTCACCACTCTTAGTTTCATGACACAACGGGAGTGTCTCAATCATCACCTGAAGCAGGTGAATATCATCATCTGAAGACAAATAAAAGGAAATTTTTTGTTTTTATCAAATTTAAATTTTGTTTCATTTTAAGAACATTATTTATTTGCTTAGTTAAGTACAATTAAAGTGTATTTTTCAAAAGATGTTTGTTTATTTGGATTTAGATCATACACTTTATTACAGCCTCAGAACTATGCCTCATACATGTTTATTACAGCCTCAGAACTATAGTGAGTACATAAGCTATAATGCATGTAGAAAACTTTTCTAAATTACCAAACAATCGCCTAAGTATCGGGCTTTATAGCCCGATATTTAGGCGATCGTTTGGTAATTTATTATATACTATTCAGGCTTTGAGTTGTTGTTATTTATATATAGAAAACTTTTCTGTAAAATTAAACTTCTCATATATTCTTAATTTTAATTACACAAATGTATCTACGTAATTAAAAACAGATAAACTAACTAATTTGTCAATTTTTTTAATTCATGCATTTGAAAAACCTACTTTATTATAAATGGACTTTTGGCTTTAATTTCTTCTTTAACTGCACTTAATACTCAAGCATCGACACACAAAAACCTTTATAATGCAGCCTTTTAATTTAAAATTTACTATGTTTTCGGTCATTTTGAAAGGCCTTTGTCAGGAACAGAACAATTGAATGATTCTGATTTCAAAACCAATATTTGTGGACAACTCCTTGCCTGAATTAGTCTATTAAATCAAGGTTTTACTGTAATTGTATATCTCAAAATAATAATAATTTAATATGTAAATAGGAAGAATATTTTTTAGAGTTTAGAAATAAAAACAGTCAATATAAAGGAATATTTATTTAACTTTTCCAGACTTTATTAAGATCATAATTATTTTAATTTACAAAGTAGTTATTACAATTTATTGTTTTTTTAAAAATGTTTAAGAAATGAATCTATTGACTTTATATAGTTTTCTTAAAAAATTTTAAAATGTAAATGATGATTATTATAGTTAAAATTACTTCTTCTCAATATTATTCATTAGTATATATTATCAATCAGTCAGTAATTTATTTGATATGGCTTTTTGTCTTTACAAAGAGGGATACAAAAACTTTAAAAACAACATACTATATTTACTTGCATATAGAACGAGGTGTGACTTTAAAGATCAAAATAAGAAAATTAGATTTATTAATACAATTCTAATTTTATTTTGTTAAATCACAAGTAAAATATCAAATGAATGTAAATGCACACATTGTCCTGTAAAAATCATTGGCATTTTAAACCTTAAGGAAAAATTTTGTAAAATTGACATAATTTGTTCATATAAAGCTGGACAATCGGGAACCTTTTTTTTGCCAATTCTTAACAGTCAAATCCACTCTCTTTTGATTGCACTTATGAGTTTCTCCGAATTCTGATTTCCAAATAATCATCTGTTTTCACATGGGAATGGATTAAAACTTATATTGGGTTCCCATGTAATTTTGGAATTCATTTCAAAAGCTTTGTTTTTCCTATTGCTATTCATCTTTACTCCTTGACAATATACAAGAATGATTGAAATGACCCAGATAGTATACTTATGTTTTTAAATACAAGAGGGCGAGCATCTGGTAGAAAATGCAAATACACGGTTCACAAAAATTATTTGCAAACACACAAATTTGCTTACACGTATAGGATGACCTAGGAATTTGAAGCTATGATAAATGAATAAAAACCTTGTCTTATATGCAAGTAAATACGGTAATTACATATATTATGATAATTATCATCATTCAGGTACAATTATATATGAGTTGAAATTTAGAAACTATTGTAACATATTTACTAAATAAAAATATTTATACAGTTTAAATAATGTTACAGAACTTAAATTATGATCATATGGTTCTCAACCTTTTTTGTTGATGTACCCCATTAGTTGTTTCTCAAGTACCCCTTATATTTTTGTATATAAATTTTATAATTACTGCGTTAGATGTATACAGTCCTTATAACTGAGCACCATAAAAAAACTCTCACTAACTAACTATAACTAAAAGTGGATTACTTATTTTACTAACAAACACAACACCTTACTAATCCCAGCAATATTTAATAAGAATAATAATGTTTTTGACTGTTTTAAACAGCCTTTATCAGTTAAACTATTTCAAACTAAAAGAATGCTAAAAATAGAATACAAGCTTTTAAAAACTCAAATTCCAACGTAAAACGCAATCGCATAGTAAAAACGTACATAAATTACGCATATGCCTTCGTATAGGAATAAAAATAAAATAAAAATAAACATAATCAAATTTTTTTGCCACAATATTGCCTATTAGAAGATTACCATTATGTGCGATGGTAAAATGATTTCCATGCGGTGGATAAACCATCCACATCCCTGTGGTTAATACAACCCGTGTTAATGTGGGCTTTGTATATTTCCAGCTTCTCAAGATACTTCAGGGCCTGCTTGTTGTTCGTGACCCTGATGATAGAGGCCTTGTCCCAATGCATGTTGACTTCCAGTTGTTTAGCGAAAGCCACAAGTACAGTGCTATCCAAGCTCTTAGTGATTGAGTATTTATGTTCTTTAATTCTCTGCATTAAATGTCGCATTAGTTGCACCAACGTATAATAGATCAGAGTTAAATCGACGATCCCTTAATGGTATAGCATACACTCCCGTTCTAGTATTCTGGTTTTCTTTTTTCTTGTCGTTTTTTAATAATCTATATATCGTAGGATTACGCTGATATAGCATTCTTATGCTATTGTTGTTGGCCACTCTTTTCATCAATGTGTGCAAGAAAGGAAAATAATTAAGGACTACTTTTCTTTTTTCATTCTTATTCAGAAGTTGTTGTTTTGTTGGTTTCTGAAACTTATTAATAAGCCCTTCAATTTCTCTTGTTCGATAACCATGCTGCAAAGCTGTTGTACGAATGTAATTTAATTCCTTATATGTATCATAAACACTGGTACAATGTGTGTATGCACGCTTGATCCATGCACGAAATGCCGCATGTTTAAAATTCCTAGGATTGAAAGAATTTTTTGGAATAATAATAGGCTGATAACTCGGTTTTTTATAAATGTCTGTCCATATTTTACCTTCTTTGCATGTGATTGAAAGATCAGGAAAATTTACATTATAAGCACTTTCTTGGTCCAATGATAATGTCAGACCATACAGGTTTTCGTTGATTTTATTAAGAAATTCCCGACTGCAACCATCATTCCTCCAGAGTATGAAAACATCATCTACATATCTTGTGTACAAAATGATGTCATTTTGAAAGAAGGAAAGAACTTTGTTTTCCAAACGACGAAAAACCAATTCACATAAAATAGCGGACGTAGGGCTGCCCATTGGGACCCCTCTTCCTTGCTAATATGTCACTCCTTCAAAGACAAAAAACGATGTGTAACATATTAAATTTGCGAGCTCCAAAATGTGTGCATGATATCTCATCGGATTTTCTATATTAGCAAAAAGAAAGTCTCTTAGCTCGCAAAAACATGGCGGTAATCTTATGGATGGAAACAAGGATTTAAAATCCATTACAGTCATATACTCATTATCTTGAGGGTAACGCTCCTGAGCTTCTCCACCAGCTGTACTGCGTTTTTTATAGCAAAGGGATATTCCTGTATTTTCGGTCTTATAAAATTGACCAGTTGCTTCTCAATGGCAAAGGTAGGAGATCCACATTTCTCAATAACAGGGCGTAATTGGTAATCAGGCTTATGAGTTTTGCCAAAAGCGAAAATTCTCAGTGTTTTTGGAGCCTGCAAAACAGAGTTATGCATACGCAAAAAAATGAGCCAATGGGGTTAAAGTGAACTTCTTGACCCTTTGTTGTAGCGATTCTAAAAACTTGTCGGGAGCATGCTGACATTCGGTGCTTCTGATGTAATCCTGCAATTTTTTGTTGTAGGAGTCCCGTTTAATAAGAACCACTCCTTTAGACTTATCTGCTTTAATAAGTACTACATTATTCATCTGCAGCCATCGCCTGGACATCTCTATGTAGTTGTGGAACTGCCTCGCTTCTAAGTTAGACTTTCTTTCATCTGCAGCGCTGAACCTTGTTTTCCATCTGACGTAATCCTGTCCCATAATATTCAAATCCTTAATATTAATAATTATTTCAATATTGGGAATAATATTCTCCGGTTTTGGTACATGAGCAGGAGCAAAAAGTGGGCCAAATTTTAAAGCTTCCAAGAGACACTTCGGAGGAGTGATGCTATCCCATGCTGTTACAAATGTGTTATTCATTAAACGAGGTTTGATTTTCTGATAACGCAATAACCATTTAATCTTTTTGATATAATTACATTTTAAATTTCTTTCATAAGAGCTTGCTAATTTGAGCACCCAGCTGTTGACATCTTTTAGGAGAAGCGGATCTTGCTTATAAAATTTATCTTCCACAAGAATAAGTTCTTGCAATAAGGCATAATAACGTCGTCTAGAAGCCCTGATAGCTTTGTTGAGGCAAAGATATTTCAGCCTTGGCAATAAAGATTCACACCCTATAGGGAGACGTATCTGATAAATGGAATTTGGGAAAACACCATTTAGGCGGCATTGACAAAGGAACTCAAACTTTCCTCTTGCTTTGTAAAGCTAGTAACAATTCTCCTATAAATCTTTGCCGGCGTAGCCATTAAAACGTAATAGATAAATAACTATAAATACTTCTGTAAATCTTGGCCGGCATAGGTTTTTGAATTTGTTTAGTTTGTTTTTTATAGTTTATTATATCCTGTATTTTTCCTAAAAAAACATTTTTTTAAATTTGAGCTTTACATTGGAAGTAAATTGGAAGTTAATAATGACAATAAATACCAGGAGCACTTTGTAATGTCCACTGGTGCTGGTGACTTTTCATGAACTTTCTAATAGTAAGCTTTATGATTTAAATATGGTTTGTTCAATTTTTTTATGTTTATACTTATTTTAGTTTTATTAATTTTTCTCAATATTTGTTTGTTAATACACATGTAGTTATTAATTGGAGGCTTCAATTCTAATCCTAGTCCGATGTCCCATACTCCTCCTCCCTCTCCTCCTTCAAAGTTGTCCATATCCTCAATTGGAAAACATCAAAAATCGCCTAGTGAACCAGCTCTAAAATCTCAATGTACTGTACTTCAGAATCAGTGATTGCTAATAAAGATTTCCCTTAAGACAAACCATTTAGCCTCATTCTTTTTAATCTATTTGTTAACAATTTTCCAGATTTCCTTCACAGTCATAACACAATACATTGACTGAACTGACTTGTCTTTTGTTTGCTGATGATATTGCAGTACTTTACTTTATTTAAAGAATAGAAGAGCTGTCTGTCATTTAGCGGCAGAATTTGCTCTATAGAGATGGAAGGAGAAGGTAAGGAAAAAGAGACCGAATGTGAAATAACGAGAGATAGGGGAGTGTGAAGGAAGACATGGAGAAGGAGAGGTGGGGGAAGAAGTGGGGATTGTTAGAGAGTATAAAATTTAGAAAGGAAGGTAAATTTGCGATCATACAGATGACTTATGCCATATTTGTTTAGAATACAAATAGATATACAGAGCAGAGCGCCATTTTGGCGGCCGATGATAACAATACATACTGATAGATATGGTACGTATTGATACACTGATGGAACAGATGTAGATATACAAACTAGATGAGTAGAGATGTACAAAGAGAATCCCGATGGGGGGTCCGGTAAAATGGTATTGGACAAGCCAAACAAACAAACAACTTTAACCATTAACTAGACATAGAATACCCTACAGCTGTTAGACACAATTACAATAACACAGTCACAGGACGGCTAGAGCCACATGTGGTGGATTAGAGATGAACAATGGACCGGAGAGATTGAGAACACAGTAGAGGGCCCCTGCTAGGGGGGGACGGGTGGGTGACCCGGTAAGTGCTACAGTTGTTCACAAAGTTTTTGAGATGGTTAAAGGCGCCAACGTTGCTGCATAGAAAGTCTAAGTTGGGGGGGCCAATTTTGCCCATTAGTTAGGCAGAAGCCCATGAGTCCTTGGCGCTCCATATCGTGGTGAGGACAGTCTAGGAGAGTGTGCAGGGCGTCCCCAATAACAGAGTCATTGCAGTCACATTTGTCGTCTTCTCTTTTGCCAAACTGAGCGAGGTAGGCTGGGAAATTCCCATGCTTGGTGAGGCACTGCGTAAGATAATAGGAAGGGGTGATGTGCTTTAGGAGTTGACGACTCCTAACAGATGGCAGAAATTTGAAAGTAAGCCTTCCAGTTGGAGAATCTGTCCAATCCTTCTGCCACTCCTCGATGATCTGATTGTATAATAGTTTGTTAATGTAAGTGATGGGGACCTTCCCAAAGGAGCAGTACTTTCTTATACTCCTATTGGTCTTCAGCAAAAACTTAATCTTTTACAAGATTATTATTATAGGACTAATAGATTACATATTAATGAGGCTAAATCTAAGATAATGATTTTTCGGAGAGGAGGTAAGCTGGGAAAGGCTGATAAATTCTATTTATTCAATTCTGAATTGGAAGTGGTGATGTCCTATAAATATTTGTTGAACTAATAGAGATGTAATTAGTTTGATAAACTTTAACAATATAAAGTGAATTTAATTTATAAATTTATTTAAAATAAAGGATTTATATGTATTATATATCATATTACATCAGTGTTTTCCAAAGTGTGGTATGTGTATCCCAGAGTTATACAAATGGTGTTCAGGAAGTATATGGCAATTTTAGCTATGTACTACTGATACATAGAATCATTATGAATTAAAAATACTATAGAAATGAATTATTTTAAATGTATATATATGCTTCAATAAATTATATATTTTGTGTGAATTCTCCAACTCAATATGTGGTAAGTGCTGCATTTGGGTAATTCACAAAAGATCTTTATTCTTTTTGACAAGAAGATACTTAGTACTTATGTAAAGTTAAGGAGGTGGTATACAATTTTAAAACTTTGGGAAATACTGTATTAGATTTACTATCAGTGTTATATGATCATTGCAGCTTCCATAAATTAATTTTATTAAAATCTTTAATAAAATTATTACAGGTTTTGTCATTACATAATAATAAACTAACTTCTTTACATGGTGGTGGCAGTTTACAAGATCTGTCTGGTTTGAAGGTAAATGTAAATTTAATATGTAAATTTTCATTTGTTTTAATAAAAAATTATATAAAATTATATTTACTTATCAGTTTTATAAATTATAATAATAATAATAATCTGTTTAATGTTTATATTGCAAATAACAATTCATATTTTGAAAGTTATTCATATTTATCAATATTTATTAATTCAAACAACTTAGATATAGTTACAGTACAATAGAACTCCAGTTACCCAAAATAAATGGACTTACCTGTTTCAGATAAACAGATTTTTGGATAATCGAGAGATTTAAATTTCAGTGTAAAAGTACAAAGAAGCAGTAAACCTGTACATCCCAAAGCATGTTTAGTGTAATTACAGTACTGTACATGTATTAACTATATTGAAAATAGTCTGATATTTTATTTTGTAATTTCTTTTGATGATGTTTTTTCTGAAATGTCACTCTGCCATTTTATTAACAGTATGTTGACTGGTGAAACCTCCTTGCTTTTTGAAGAAAACATAAAGCAATCTGCAGCAACAAAACTTTTAAGTACTATACCATATTTTCCATTAATTTTCTCATATTCAATACAGTATATTTTAATAATCAGTAGTTTGGTTTCAAATGACAAAGGCCAAGTGTTTTGCCACCTTCACTTCTACCAAGAAACTCCATTAGTGAAATCAGATGATGGATATGTGGAAAGTTGTAGTCTGCATTTAAATTAATATTTTTATTGAAATTCCATTACGTAAAGATTACATCCAGTTGTGAAGTGTCATAAACTTCTCCAAAATGTTGGTGACTCTGAAGACAACAGTTGGAGATATGACTTTTAACTTGTATACAAAAGACAGGCCAAGATCATCACTAAATTTTCTCAAACTGTGCAGGATGAAATTTTATAATTTTGCATTATTTCATAAAGTAGAAAGGAATTTTATTGCTCAATCAGAGGATCCAACTGAAACTGGTAGAGGTGGAGGGAGAATCAATATTTTGCACATTATTATACAGATAGCAGACAAAATTGTTTGAAGCAGAAAAAAGCCAATTATCAAGCACAAGAAGATTGGAACTTTATCAATGGTCAATAATGGAAACGGTATGCATGGATCACAATTTTTCATCACTTTAAATGAAGACCTGGATTATTTAGATGGTGTTCACACAATTTTTGGAGAATTAATAGAAGGTCTTGTAAGATTAACTGGGGGCCAAGGGGGCATCCCGAGTGACCACTTACTCAGCAACAGGTCAGTGAAACCCGATCTCGTCTATTGGATGGCTCTACAATAAATTGTTAGTGGGATTGCAAGATCTAGCTGACATCAGGATGCTGACACCAGTTAGGATAGAGTTAAATGTGTCCTAACCTGCAAATTGTAACCAATGATTGAATAGGAGGTCTAAAATTATTGAGTGTGGAGGTCGTGAACAAGTCGATAAGATTTGATAGACACAGGTAGCCAGGTTAACGAATAAAAATATAAGTTTAATATAAAATGTCTAAACCTAAGAATACACAGAAATATGTTATATACATCTAAGGCTACATGACAAAGATATCTACGTGCTCCATTCGCATTCTATCCACTATTTGCTCTTGAGAGAGAGAGTTTACAAAAATACCTCAGAGAGAGATGTGGTTCTCTGTCTTGTGAAGGTGAGCTGCAATCGATGTCTTCCTTTCTTATACAGCAATTCAGGCCGTCGTCTTCTACGGAAAAGTCTGCTTTAGGCTGTTCCGGATATGATGGGATGGAAGTCTTCTCCTTTGTTTGTGGAGTCCATCTTGTGATTGCCGTTCTGGGGATAGCTGCTGGGAACTGGGTGGCTGTCTCCGGTGTATTGTTGTCCAGGTTGGTCCACTACGACTTGATTTCTCGCCTCCCTTTTATCGATTTAGTTTGAGAAAAAGAGTCAGGTGATTGACTGTTTGGCGATTCGTCTGCAGGTGTGTGGTCAGAGGTGAGCCGTTGATGACATAAAACTATTGTTATATGGAGCTGTCATGACCATATTTGGTTCCAGACTTGTACACTTCCTTCTATTCAAGCATCGACAATTGACTTTCTGCTCCTTTAACACTGGGTTGTTTATTGTTTAGTACTGGGATGTTATATTTCTCAGCTAGTTGTTGATAGTATGGGTGATATTCAATCTGTTTCCCGTGCAATGTTTTCTTTATGATTGCAACAGAGAAATAGGCTTAAGATTTTTCCAAATTTTATGCAAAATTGCACCTTGATTCTCACAGTCTTGATGCCATAAAAACTCTTAATGAAACTATCTGTGATGAAGCAAACAGACCATAAGACATAAGGATATGTCATACTGTCATTTTGGAGGATTCGTTTGATGATCTAAGTGGATTGGTAATCCCAGATTGTTCTTCAGAGCTTTCAAAAGAAGTGTTCAAAATGACTCTAATAGCAACTGATGAAGAAATAGATGATTCTAGGGGTAAGCGTATTGAAGAGATTGAAGAAGAAATTAAAGATGAAGAAGCCAAAGCCCAAGCGATTATATTAGAAATGGTTGGTGTCCTGATGCTGATATTAAACCACCAGATAATTTTCTTTTTGTTTGCGAATTAAATCTTGTAATAATTAGTATTACTTTTCAACTATTAAATCTCTAACTGCATTATTAATTACTACATTCCACTATACCTTTAAAATGCAGTCTACTTTTGTCTAGTTCTCTAACGTTTTCGGTCTAATTCATAGACCTTCTTCAGGATTGATGTAAAAAAATTTTAAAAATTTGAACTTTCCCAACGGTAATTCGAACAACGCACGTTCTATAATCTTCAGATATTCGATCGCGCATGTCCATTAGCTCTTTATAATGCCGCCGCTCTCCATGCCGATGCTATTCTACTTGACTCTCGAAAATTTATATTTAGCCCCTTTTTTCTGTATTTATAAATGTGCCATGCCTCTGCATACTTTAGATGTCGTATATTAGCAATCTTTTGTATAATATCCGCCTTGCTCCATTCGATTGTAATCTCTGCAGGATCCGCGATAGCATAATTGGCCAAAGCCGTGATCGGTTGTTTAGATCTTATATTTTTTTCGTGCTCCTTCAATCTTTCTCTTAATGATCTCTTTGTGGCTCCTATATAATATAACTCTTTCTTTAGCCTTTTATCATGCAACGGTATTCTGTACACACCTGGAACTAGCCTCCTGTCTATTGGTGTTTTGTCATTTCTTAGCATTTGGAATATTGTCGTGTTTCTCTTATATGCTATTTTCTTTTTGCTCTCTACTCCTATTTTTCTGTATATGCCACTTAACGGTGCTCTGTATTCCATTACGGTGAACTCCTTTTTTTCTTTCTTATCTTTAGTCTTATTGCATCCTTTTTCCGCTTCTTGTATTAAGGCTTTTACTTTACTTTGCTTAAGTCCTACATCTCTTGCTAATTTTGCAATGTAATCAAGTTCTTTACGTGTGTCATATATCCTGCTACAATGAGTGTATGCTCTTTTAATAATAACGCTGCTAGTTTGTAGTTTGTTGGGTCATGCGAGGACCATGGTATCAAATCCGGAACGTACGTCGGTTTTCTATACACTTTTGTAACAATTTGCTCTTTATCATCTATTTCGACCTCTATATCCAAGAAGTGTACTCTTTTTTGATCTTTTTTTCGAATTACCGTTGGGAAAGTTCAAATTTTTTTACATCAGTCCTGAAGAAGGTCTATGAATTAGACCGAAAACGTTAGAGAACTAGACAAAAGTAGACTGCATTTTAAAGGTATAGTGGAATGTAGTAATTACTTTTCAACATTCAAGAACAGAAAACTAGAAGATGAAATGCTTGACATCTTAAAGATACAAAATTATCATCTTTCTAATGTTTTCAATCTACTCTAAAGGTCTTAATCAGGAAATTAGAACATAATGGGATGTTCATTGAATCTTTGAACAGGAAAATTTAATTTTGTATTGAGTACAATTTAAATCAAAGTTTAATGTAAGTTGTATCTGAAGATTTAAAGAACATTCAATGAACATTCAGTTATATTCTAATTTCCTGAAGATCTTCAGAGTAGATTGAAAACATTAGAAAGGTGATAATTTTGACAACTGCTTGATTAATTTTGAGGTTGGTGGAGATTTTACTTACTATTAAGCTCTTCCAGTTCATATTTGAAGAATTATTAATGTACACAATAAACTACTACTTACTTTTACATTTTATTTTTAAATAAGCCTTTAATAAAAAAACTTATGACTCCTATATTGAATGATGTATTAAAAACAAAATGTCTATTATTAATAGGTCTAACAATCAACAAACATTTCAGTCTCTATGAATATGGTATCAGACTCTTATAGTATTATGCATTTTGTTCAAGGGAAAGAGAAAGATTAGCCAATGTGGAATGTTACATTAAAATATTATCATCATCTCTTTCATTGAATTGCTAAAAATATACTAAGAAAGAGAACTATATAAAACCTGTTACTTATGAATGATCTTAAACATTGTTCCTGTTAATAATAATGGTTTACTGGGACAAGCTTCTTCTTTAAAATGAAAATATGTGGTATATGTGGTGCCTCAAACATTACTTCAACTGGATGTAATCTTTATGTAATGGAATAGCTTGTGATGAAGTATAGTAATGTTTGGGGCACACAAAATTAGCAGTATATCTTAAGAAGTTAATTCTAAAACTGCTGACATCACGTAATGCATCTTGACTAGTCATCCTATTTCTCCATTTACCTTTGTTTACATATCCTTAATCTTCAGAGAATGAAAAACCTTCAGGACAGTACAAGCTTTGATTTTTCTATGTTGGATATATCTTGTGTATGTAGAAAATTGTAAAGACAAACTGTAGATAAAACTGTCAATTCAACTATTGTATTTTAATGTTTGCAATTATGGGCTGTCAGAAGATATGCCAATGTGCAGCCAAAATGCCAAAAGCATTTTTTTTACTACTTGATGAAGCATGTGGTAATCAGTACTTAAATACAGGAGCTTCCCTACTTGTCTATATGAAAAAGGATTTAAGACATTAAGTTAGACTTCAAGAATAGAAGTGTTTGTGTCATTTCAAAAAAATTTTAAGAAACTGAAGAGAATAAAAACTAATATTTTTTCATATAATTTTCAATATATGATTTGCCTCAAGACCAATATTCCAGAATTTGAAGAAAATTCTAGAGAAAGTTATTTGGTTTTAAGTTCTCTATGGCATTGTACTATCAAGATAAGATAGCTTGTGATGAAGTATAGTACAATCACTTCTCGACTTACAATGGGGTTCGGTTACACAACTTTGAACATAAGTTGAAATGATTGTAAGTCGAATTTTATACAAAAATAAATAATATNTGAAAATGATTTACCCACAATATTGAATATCACAGCATTAAAGTTTTCTATTTTATTAATTAACACCTATTAATAATATAATAATAAACTCAGAAAGAATTAAACAGAAATGAAGCAATACATAAAAATATTTTCTGTTTACCAGTCATTTTGTATTTTCAACATTTAGGCTCCTTCTCAATATTCAATTTTTTGTTTCTCTTATTTTACAATTTCACCTACAATGAACTTCTATTGTAAATTAAGGAGAGAGAGAGAAACATTATTTCAGTATTTGAGATAACACTATAATAAACTATATATCAAAATGTGTAATATATTACAACAAGATATATATACAGACAGTGGTTGATCAGTTAACGAACAGTTCGGATAGCGAACAAATCGGATAACGAACACTTTCGGGAAAGATTTTTATGATCAGACAACGAACACATGTTCGGTTAATGAACACTTTACTGAACAAACATAAAAAAAAAAGCGATGGAAAATAACGAAAACCGATTGATTTTCCCGTGTCTTCGGATAACAATTCAAAACCTTTCGGAGCGTGGGAAACGTCAACATCAACGTCAACCCGATACCAATCGGATAGTATAATATTCCTCCAAATTTTGAAACTCTCCCTTGTAATTCCAGCTTTTTGTTTACCTTTCTGACAAATAATTTTTTATAGTATTTGCGAGACTGTCGGACGGGCACTCATTAAGTTTTGCGTTGGGGTTTATTTACGAAAGATGAAAGTTTAATTGTCCCATCGGATATTCATTAACGTTATAATACCAAATTTCGAATTTCATCCGGGCCTTGCGTTTAAATAATTTTTTGCGGGCTAGTCAATTTCTATTCTCTGAATTTTAGTAAGTGCTTTTCTGAACTTTTTATTTAAAAAAGAAACTGATAATATTATGGAGCCTGGAAAGAGGAGTGTCAAGAACTGTGCTCACCGTGCAAGCAAGAGATAATAGCCAAGGTAGAAAGTGGGCACAAGATGTCTAATATTGCTAGGCAGAATGGCTTGAACAGGTCTACAGTAGGCACAATCTTAGCTATAAAAGATATATCGAGAAGTCTCGAGCTGCTAATGGAGTCATGAAAATCACATCTGAGAAATAAAGAGCATTTTAGAGCTCATAATGGAACCTGAAACTGATCTGTCAACAGAACTCCAAGAACTCTCAAATGAAGAATACCAAGAAACTCGGCGAGATGTGTTTTCTTTTGAAAAAGAGGAAGACGAAAGAGGACCAATGTAGACATCTACTACTAAAGAACTTTTGAAAAAGTGGGAGAATGTCAGAAGAACGATCATCCAAGTGTCATCCAAACCAAAATAAGGTTAATGGAGTTGTCAATCTCTACAATTACAATACTATTAATTACTTCTGAAAAATCCTGATGAAAAGAGAAAAACAATCGACATTGGACAGATTCTTTAACCCCCACAAGTGGAAAAAACATGTCTAAAAAATGCAAGACTACATATATATGTATTTTTACTATTACATATAAATAAACGTAGTAAAAAAGTATTTATTTTTTTATTTTTTGGAGTCTCTGGAACGAATTAATCAAATTCCCATGAAAACCTATGGTAAATCGATAATCGGTTAATGAACAAAGTCTTGGAACGGATTATGTTCGTTAACTGATCACCCACTGTATATACTATTATATTATATATATATATATATATAAGCATTATTCTGGATTATTGTCATCATCTGTGCTACTGATACTCATTACTGATTCTTGAGATTTATCAGCAAGTGTAGTAGTAGTGCTTTTTGTTTTTATTAACAATCCAATTTTGTTTGGATAGTTTGTTGTTTCTTTTCATTATAAATTTAATTATAACAGGCAAGTGCCTGGTGAATGTTGTGTTGTACCTTTGAAAATCTATTGTCGTCTGAGTCCATATTTTCAAATTTTTTAATTGCCTCATTATTGTTGCTAAAATCTGATGCCATTTCTTTCAGCACAAATGTTTTGGGTGGTTTTTTTGTGTTCATCCAGTTCTTTTAGCTCCATTACATTTTTAACTGCAACTTATTGTTCCTCAATCTCAATCAGGTCTTGGTTTGTGAGTTCCTCCATATTATTTTCCAAAAGTTGATTTACATCTTCATTATCAACTTCCAAATTTAATTGTTGAGCAAATTGTACAATAACATTAACTACCTCTTCTATTTCCTCTTTTCTATTAAAGTTCATATTGTTATTAAAAATTTTTAAGAGTTTGTTCCATATGCTGTTCATACATTTCGTTGTTGCATTGGACCATCCTTCTAATATATTCTTTACTGCATGAAAATGTTATAATTTTTCCAAAATTCTCTCAATGTCTGATCTTTCTCAGTTCCTGCAATTGCTTAGGCAAAAGTGATTCTTAAATAATGTACTTTGAAGTTAGCAATACACCCTTGATCCATCAGCTGTAGTATGTATGCTTGTGGTATTAGATGGTAAATAAACCTGTTTTATGTTTGGATGGAACTTTCCTAAGTGTGGAGGGTGACCTGGAGCATTGTCAAGAAGCAATACAATTTTAAAAGCAATGTCTTTTTCATCACAATATTTCTTTACTTCTGCAACGAAGCAGTTGTTAAACCAGTCTTCAAAAAAGGCATTGTGTTATCCATGCCTTCTTATTGGTACGATAATGTAGTGGTAATGTGTCCTTACTGATTTCTTTGAAGGCTCTTGAGTTTTGGGAATGATATATCATAAACGGCTTCAATTTATAACCAGCAACATTTCCACCCAACAAAAGGGTAGCACGATCTTTAAATGCTTTAAAACTGGGCATGCATTTAGCTTTTTTTTGAATGTATGTCCGTTCAGGCATTTTTTTTCCAATATAACACAGTTTCATCCACATTAAAAATTTGTTCCTTCTTCAAGCATCACTTCAAAATTGTCCTTGAAGATTTTGGCAGCTTTTGAATCTGCACTTGCTGCCTCTTCACAAATCTTCATATTATGGAAATTTTCATGTTTTTTAAACCTTTCAAACCAGCCAGAACTTGTATTGAAATTTTGGTCATAGTTGTCACCCTTCTTTAAATCTTCAAAAAGACTGCATGCTTTAGTTTGAATGGTCATGAGACTTAGTGGAACATTCTTCTGTAATAAATCTTCCATCCAANAGTACCTGTTGGTGCAAGGTGTGATCTCCAACAACACCGAAGAGAAGGTCCCTGAGGATGCAAAAAGCTGGGGGGAGCTCCACTGAGGGGTATAAAGACTTAAAGTCCAATACAGTGATAAATTGTGGAGGAGAGGTGAGATCCTTCAGGAGGGAAATGAGGTACACAGAGTTAGTGATGCTGTACTTTTCTTTCGTTTTTTATATTGCCTAAGGAAGAACTATTAACCTGTCCTACGTTGATCCCGAAAATTTTTGGGTTGACCTCATTGACCTGCGTGGGCGATCCCGAATATTTCCGTGTTTACATTGAAACATTTTTGATACTAGATGTCGCTTCGCGTCATAATTCCATCCAAGTCTTTAAACATTTTTCTATTTCATGTATGGGACCATTTTTTTTTTTTTTTTTTGTGATGATGGTTGATTTTACTGATGCCGATCTCTTTACTGCTTCACAAATTCGTTCTTTGTCCTTTATTATAGTTGAAAAGGTTGAATGCGACAATTTGTGTTCATGTGACAAGTTTGACACTGTTTTGCTGCATTTATTCTGTTTTATTAATTTTATTTTAATCTCTAAGTCTATTGTCTTTCTTTTCTTTTCATTGGTCTTACCAGCTATTTTAAGACTAAAATATTGCAAATCAATGTAAAATAAAGTAGAATTTTCAATTTAATCTGAGAGTAAACTACTTATAACAAAACAATTAGCCACCTTACACAAGCACACGTGAAGGGTAACTAACCGCACAACAAAACTAAAGATGACGCAATCGATTGCAGAAGCATGCAAGATATATATGTATATGGTATATATTTCACAAAATCTATAAAAAATTGATACATTTAAAAAATTTTTTTATGAAATTTTTTCGTCATAAGTGCGAATGGTTGTAAGTCGAGGTAGTCGTAACTTGAGAAGTTACTGTAATGTATTAGCTAGACTTTCTTTACACTACATTACTAGTTGAAATCATTAACATAATACTGAAATCATTCTTGCATAGAATTCATATTTCTTGATAGATGAGCCTGAAATTGATATGATTTCAATTTTTATGGCTTTTTAGTTGAAATGTGACAATAATTATTTAATTTTACTTAGAAATATGTATTAATTATTGTTTATTATATTCAGTGTATTTTATAATAACCATATACACTTACATATTTTCAGTTAAGAAATTAAAAATGTAATTTTGTTTTTTATTAGGTCTTTGATTTGCATGTAAATAAGATACACAAACTTCCAGAAGATATTGGTGTACTAAGTTCTTTACAAGTAAGAATTTTAAAAGAAATATATGATTAAAAATAAATAAACCACAATCAAGGAACCAATTTTTAAAAAATTAAAAAAAAAATATTTTTGATATTTTTCAAAACATAAACTGTATGAAATGAGAATCTTTAAAACTCTAAATTTCAAAGAATTTAAAAAATTGTAATGGAGGAACTAATTTTAAAAAATTGGCTCTTTGTGTTTATATATTATTGTCACATTTTCTTGTAAAACATTTTCAAATATTAATATTAAAAAAATTATTTTTAACATTTTGCTCCTGAAAAGTTTCTCAAAGACTTGATTAGATGTAATGTTCTTATTTTTCTTTACTTTTCCTAATTCCAAATATAAAAGAGCTGACAGGTGAAAGATTTCAGTACAGTAGAGTTTTAAATCTAACAAGCAATTATTTATTGTGACAACATAATAATGCCAGGCTGCAATTTTTAATTTATTTAATTTAAAATGTATGTCCCCACCTCAAATTAGTAGTGCCTTTTCTCTGTACATCATACTTTTCTGTTAGCAATAGAGTCATGCTAGACATTATCTAATTCCTTTCAGAGGAAAATTTTTGAATTGAAATAATGTCACTTTCAGTTCACACCAGACATTTATATACAGTTAATTGGGGCCTCCTGCCCAAAGCTTTCTGTATCTAGTCTCATCTTTTATCTGTCTAACTCCATTCTTGATATTAAAGAAGGACAGAGATGTATAACAGTGGGAATTTATAGGTTCAAAATTTTTGTCAAATTACAGTCCAACAATATAAATTAAGATGTAGATTTATTGAGCTACAGCTACTACTTGTTTGTAAAGTGCTTTAGACTACATCTTAGTGAGGCCACAGTTGTATTCCTAACTGTGAGTGGAGCCAATCTTTTTTTCTGCAATTGGTTAATTCTTGTTAGTTTATTAGAGTTAAGTTGCATAAAGCTTTGATAATACTGTAATTGGTGCTGCTGTTTACACACACACAGAGGTTAGTGGTTTGGCCAGTTCCACATCATGATAAAGAGGGAGGATTGGCAGTAAGAAATATAATCAGCCATAAAATGTATGCTATATCCCTTTGAACAAGGAGCAGACATCAGTGATGTTATGCTACATGGAATAATAAGCTGAAGATGATGAACAATATATTTGATCCAGATTAGTTTTTTTAATCCAATTCATACATTAATGCATTATAATAACCAATGCATTAATATATGAATTTGATAAAAAGCTAATAGAATTACAACTGATTAGAAATAAAACTGTTTGTTCTAATAATGTTTGTTCTAAATATATTTCATGTTAAATGAAGAATAAGATGATTTCTTAAAGATGAAATATATTTTGTAAAATGCATATCAAGTCAGTATTTGAGTGAAGGAAATGTTTATTGGATAAAATTAGTTATGTGCCGGACCGTTAAAAATGTATATCCGTGGATACAGATACGGATCATTAGTGTCTAGATCTGCGGATACGGATATGGATCTCAACTTTTGTACCCAGTTGGTGCTTGGACTGATAGTTGATGCTTTGCGAGAGTATAGAGGTATAGAGTAAACACCTGGGAGTCTGTTCCGATTGGGGGAGTTTTTCCTGTTGTGAAGGATGTCCAAGATGGTCAGACATCTTCTATAGGTGATCCTAATGCAACGTTTGTTGGCGATCTCCTTATACGATGATGCAATGTACAGATTATACGTGATGGGGATCCATGTTTCATCTTCCAGTTGGTTGTCACCACGGGTGCAGATGGCAGGCCCATGTACGGAGCAGTGGTAACAATTAACCAATCTATGGATCAGCTTAGGATATCTGTGGTTGGTTGCTAGGTGTTTAATATGTGCTAATTTGGTGGCTAGAGCTCCTGGAGTGGACAAATGAGAAAATGCCCTCCTGATTAAAATGAGATGGTCTTGTACTGGAATGGGTCACATGACCCAACCGGGATGTAAAGAGAGGCCATACTTGGTTTATGGTAGACTGAGGTGTGGACAGTTGACCCTTCGATCCTGTTGATTAGATCCAAGAAGTGGACCTCCGTGCTGTTAGCCTGTTCGATTTCTACGGTTAAGCCATATGGGTTGTCATTAACTGATTCCACAAGTGCTGTCACGTCCAGTACATTTTTCCATAGGATGATGATGATGTCTATGTACCTTTTATATAAAATAATGTTAGGAGGAAAGTGCGGTAGGATCTTGTGCTCCAACTGCCTGATGACCATCTTGCATAAGTCCCCAGCAACTGGGCTCCCCATGGGGATCCCTCTGTTTTGCATGTAAACAGTTCCATTGAACATAAAAAACAAATTAAAACATATCAGGTGGGCCATCTCTAGTACCTGTTGGTGCAAGGTGTGATCTCCAACAACACCGAAGAGAAGGTCCCTGAGGATGCAAAAAGCTGGGGGGAGCTCCACTGAGGGGTATAAAGACTTAAAGTCCAATACAGTGATAAATTGTGGAGGAGAGGTGAGATCCTTCAGGAGGGAAATGAGGTACACGGAGTTAGTGATGCTGTACTTTTCTTTCGTTTTTTATATTGCCTAAGGAAGAACTATTAACCTGTCCTACGTTGATCCCGAAAATTTTTGGGTTGACCTCATTGACCTGCGTGGGCGATCCCGAATATTTCCGTGTTTACATTGAAACATTTTTGATACTAGATGTCGCTTCGCGTCATAATTTTTATATTAAAACGAACTTTTAAAATAAAATTTTTTTCGTTTTTAGATTATTCAATATATATACAGTAGAGCGTCGTTTATTCGAATCAATTGGGGACTGGGGTGGTTCGGATAACTTATTTTTTGGATAACCAATTATGTACGAAAAAATATATTAATTTATCCCATGTTAAAATTTTTCTCTGTTGCGTGTCGCTTCGCGTTGAATTTTCCTCAATGTTAAGCCTAATGAAGACTATTGTATCGTTAAAAATTATTTTTTTATTTTATACAAACAAAATAAATATATTGAAAAATATAAAAACAATAAAAAATTATACTTCAGATGTTAATTTAGTATCAAAAACGTAAAATATTTGAGTAACCCAAGAAATAGCCGAAGATTGCAGCGCCACAGCACTAGCGAAAATTTAAATTTGCCGACTGGAATGCTTTCGGATAACAGACGTTTCAGATAACCAGCTTTCGGATAAACGACGCTCTACTGTATTTTGTTTGTGAAACACAAAAAAATAATTTTTTACGATACAGTAAACACAATTTTTATTTTAAAAAAAAAATTAGGCTTAACAGCGATGAAAATTCAACATGGCGTCACATGCAACAAATAAAAATTTCAACATCGAATAGGTTAATGTTTGAAAACATTTGCAATATTTATCCGTCATAACGCTTACACCAGTAACAGGTTCAAGGTACGTGTTGATTTCATCCTGATGTTCTTTGAATGTAGAAGCTCCCCATGTATATTACATTTTTTGTTAAATATACAGTCGATTCCAGTTATTAGCCCGGTTGGTTAGTAGGACATGCCTTTTATTAGGACAAAACATTCAAGAACGAATTCAAATCCTATAATGCAAGCATAATTTACTTTGCCTACTGGACCCAAAATGCCGCTTAGTAGCCCTATTGGCACAGTATTTTTCTTGGAAAACTAAGCAAAAGAGAGACAAAAATTTGGATATTTTCATCTTTTTCATATGCAACCTCTGTCTGGTTTCTTTTATCAGCTGTCAATCATGGAAAGAAAATCTTCCCATTTTCTAGATTGTACTGCAATGATATTTTTTTGTACAGAAATAATTTTTAGTCATTAAAATGGTTTTATTGTGCTCAGATGTTTGTTTTATTGGTGAGAGCACGCGGTGACATAGCTCTTTAACATGACTTGTTATATTGTATCTCAATTGCATAACTTATTGGGATGTTCGTTTAGTAGCTCTGTCGTTTTGTAGCTCCAAAAAGCTCCAGTCCCGATGTCGTGCTATTAAGCAGAATCAACCATATTTATATTTAATTAATATTTTGTTTAAAAATTACTTAGATAAAGACAATAATTATATAATTTCATCCTTTTTTTAAAATTTCTCTCTAAAATGAATATTTATTTAATAGGTATTAAATTTAGAAAACAACAAACTAAAGAAGCTATCTCAATCTATACAACAATTGAAATATTTGCAAATTTTAAATATCAAAGGTAATTATAAAATGATGGATATGTTTTGTAATAAGTTAAAATCTTTACAATAATTACTGTATAAATTAGAAATTTATAACATGAATTATTTTTATAAAAATATCTTTTTGATAAAGTTGAACATGTAAATGAAAGACTTTCTTAAATCAGAGCTGGATCATAATAACTAGATTAATAAGTCCAGTTATTATAATCCAGTCCTGATATAAGAGTTGATCACGTTATCAATATTGTGACTTGTGTATTCTAATAGCTACTAATATTATCAAAATCTATTTTAACACATTAAATTTTCCAAAAATTTTATCCAAAATGACTAAAGTTTTTGTTCTTATTAAATTATTTTGTGTTTTCCAACCAGTGGCTGATAGTTAAAACCATTGAATGTAGCTTAGTTTTAGGTTCATGCCTGAACAATGGACTAACTATGTGAGTTTTATCATATATCCAGGGTCTGTACAGACCTGGAAAGTCAGGGAATAAGATTTTTAGCAGAAAAAGTCAGGGAAAGTTAGGGAATGGCATCAAAAGTCAGGGAACCTGCAAATACTGCAGAATCTGTCTGTTGCTCCTTTTTGATCTGAATATGTCTTTAAATTTGGTTTAGTATAGGAGGTCTATGAAAATTGGAGCAACAAAAAAAAATGGCAAGGTTTGTTGCACTTATATCATGTAAACTATAAGTGATGATCTAGCAATTTAAACTTTGTTGGATAAATTTATGTTCATATTTAAAATGTTGGATAGTGGGGGTGTGCAGCTGTGCAGAGGAGGGATAATAGCTGCATGTGAACACTGAAAATGGCAATGCTGTGCAATGTTTGGGCAGTGAAACTTTAGATTGCAAAGAGCTAGGACATTGAAATTAATCTTGATTTTTACAGAATGACAGGATCTACAATTAACTAATCACCAAACATATGCCGTAAATCCATATTTACGGCATATGTTTGGTGATTAGCTATATTACATCGGGTTTAGCGATGTTTATAGGATCTACAATATTATTTAGCATCAATAACTGTTAAAATAGAATTTGTAAAGTTATAAGCTGATAAGTGTGCAAGTGAAAGAAAATTTTTATAATGTTGAAGAAATTGCAAAGGAAATATGAATGGAAATGTAAGAAACATATATCATTAGGAAGAAAAATTTAAAATGAATCAGAAAAGCCTAAAATGACTAATGCTGAATGATGCAGATTTTATAGAGAGCTAAAACACGCTCAAGAAAACCTTTAAATATGCAGCCGTATTTATTAAATTCTAACGTTTTCGGTCATATTCAATGACCTTTCTCAAGAAAAACAGAAAAAATCGAACTCCGAACTTGAATTAACGATACAAGCGTTTTGGAACGTTTTTTAAAAATAATATTCTACTGGAATAACGCCATCTCTATATAACGGTTGTCATTATATAAATACATTAGCTATTAGAACGTTAAAAATATGACGTTCCGGATATAAAATAAAAATAAAAATAAAATACAGACATAAAATACCAAACATACACAATGTGTTTAGCAAATACATTAAATTAAGAATTTCTGCCCTTAAGTAAGTTGCCGCTGTCCATCGTTCTTGACTTTATAATATACTTGCTCGCCAGGCTGCCGATACTTTGCTTGAATCTCGGAAGTTGATAGCTAATCCTTTTTGGCTTGCTTTGCAGATATGCCAGGCTTCAGCGTACCGGAGGTGCTTTTTGTCGCGAACTATTTGTATCAATCTGGCTCGGTCCCATTCAGCTTTGACCTCTTGAGGGTCAGCTAAGACGTAAGTCGCCAGCGCTGTGCACGGTTGTTCGCTTCTTATGTTTCTCTGGTGTTCTGCCATCCTTTCTTTGAGGGATCTTCCGGTAGCTCC